TTATTCAAAGAAGGGCAAGACAGAAGGAAGATCTGCTAACAGTAAACATCCTCAAATGCAAGGCTCTAAAACTACATGTTTATGACAGTATCTAACAGAGTCCAATACACTAAAGACACTCAATATGTCACCTCCCTTTCTTGAGCAGTGTGGAAAGACTCAAACTTTCCATATCTCTCAATTAATTCCCTTCTGATGGCTTTAATCTAGCCACTGATCAAATAAAGAAGAAATTAGCCTGATTAAGATTTTCTGTGCCTACAGAGGCTTGTCTTCATACTTGTATTTAACAAATCCACTATCCAAGAACAGAAATAAAAGGTACTTTCAATTAATCTGCAAAAACAGTCATTTATATACAATTTAAATTTTGACCTACCTCCAACCAGAGCATACTTATACAAGGGCTTCTTTATAGCTAAAAAACTTAACGAGATTCTTTTCCTCTTCGTTGGGATTGTTTAAAGTATATTAGTACGAAATGAATACACAGACTTCATTATTTTTCTTCTCCAGAATTTTTTCATACAATATCTCCTTTCAATATCATAACATTTTTCCAGAGTAAGAGGCAGATGAAAGAAGAGGAAAAACACTGCTGTGAAGTAGGAATTAGAAAGCACAATTTTAAGTTGCAAGACTGACATTTAATTTTCTATATGATCCTAGACAAGCATTTAAATTGTAAAAAGGGAATAATACCTATCCTGTGGAAACAGAAAAGTATGAGAATGTATTCAGATCCTCTTAATTGTAGAAGGCATTTTTTTCTTTTTTATTAAGGTATGATTGATATACACTCTTATGAAGGTTTCACATGAAAAAACAATGTGGTTACTACATTTGCCCATATTATCAAGTCCCCACCCTCACCCCAATGTAATCACTGTCCATCAGTGTAGTAAGATGACACAGATCCACTATGTGCTAGAAGGCATTTTTAAGGACATAAAGAAAGATAAACTTACTTGACATCTCATTATCGATAGCAGAGTAAAAGCTAAATAAATCAGGCCCTACTTTTTAGACAGCAATACCCTAATAGATCTGGAAGGTACCACTGAGAACATAAACACTAAGACTTACTACATCATGAACATACGTAATTGTTAATAAAAATCCTGTATCAACTGTACCAATAGCAGCCTTTATTTCAATTTAGCAATCACTAAGGTGTAAAAAAAGGTAGGAAAAAAAAGCTTAAAAGCCCCACAAAACTTGAATGTGAAGGATATAAATAATACTACATTAACAATGGAAAATACATTATGTGCCAAGCACTGTTCTTGGAGCTGGGGATACATAGGAGATGATCCTGGCCTCAAGCAGCTCACACAGGCCTCAAGCAGCTCACACAGGGTGAGTGGGTAGGAGGGAGATAGGAAAATACATTAAGAGATGGTATGGTAGAAATACTGGTAAGCGCTATACACAAGTAAAGCACTGTAAGGATACAGGGAATGCCAGGAGGAAGGCAAGGTAAGGTGGCCAGGCCACACTGGTAAGGTGACTCATGAAATGACATGAAGGGAGCCACCTGAGAAGAGCGGGGAAATGACGACGGCATCCGGCACAGAGGCAGAACTGAGGAGGCAGTGAGGCAGGGAGAGGGCAGTAAGAGGTAAGAGAGAGATGGCAGCGGGGGAGGGTTAAGACCTCACAGACCGGTTTTATTTAAGATGACACGCCTCTAGAGGAATTGGGACAGATGAGTGACATATAGCTGCGTTTTTTTCAAAGCTTGTTAGTTGTGGAAACTTTTGTTCAAAGAGATCCACATGAGATCAATAGGACCTGCTCTGAGTAAGGAAGGGGTACCCAGACTTATGACTACTGACTGGGTCTGCTGCTACTTTCCTTCTCCCTCCTCTGAAGAAGGAGTTTAAAAATGAATACAAAGTCTGTAGCATTCAAACTACCAAAGAACTTCAGGATCCAGCCCCATCCTAACTTTTCAAAAAGCTATTCCCGGAGATCAGGAAAAAGGAGTAAATCAAGTTGCTGATACATACATAGTAGAGGAGCAAATGTGTTGCAACAAAGATCATTCTTGCTAACATCCTTATCCACCAAGCACCAAGGCACAGTGTGCAACAGCCCCTATCCTCCCACACTCCTCAGGCTACATGCTACCCTCTACAGCCAGGGCTCGCTTGCTGGGCTTCCCTTAATACTCATTTTAACTTGATTCCACTTGATTAAAAGTGTTATAGCAAAACAGATCTGCCTCTGCTGACACATCTCTTAGTATAGCCTCTTTGTTAATTTACATTTGAGTAAATTCTTCCTCCCCTAGTGTTATTTCTTCTATCAGTAATGACTTTCCAGTTTGCCTTATTCTAATCCTACCGACCCATCAGCCTACTTTGTGAAGCCTTTCTTCCCACATCTGACCCTTAACTGTATCTTAAATCTTTGGAATGTGACGGGAACTTGCAGGCCATCTGGTCCCTCTAGGTTACTGCTTGTTTCATGGACTAACCCTCTGCAGATTTGGCTGATAGTCTCCCAGCTTCTGTGACTACTTTTAGTGACAAGCACACACTAGCCCACAAGGCAACCCTTGCTCTAGATCCACTATGTGCTAGAAGGCATTTTTAAGGACATAAAGAAAGATAAACTTACTTGACATCTCATTATCGATAGCAGAGTAAAAGCTAAATAAATCAGGCCCTACTTTTTAGACAGCAATACCCTAATAGATCTGGAAGGTACCACTGAGAACATAAACACTAAGACTTACTACATCATGAACATACGTAATTGTTAATAAAAATCCTGTATCAACTGTACCAATAGCAGCCTTTATTTCAATTTAGCAATCACTAAGGTGTAAAAAAAGGTAGGAAAAAAAAGCTTAAAAGCCCCACAAAACTTGAATGTGAAGGATATAAATAATACTACATTAACAATGGAAAATACATTATGTGCCAAGCACTGTTCTTGGAGCTGGGGATACATAGGAGATGATCCTGGCCTCAAGCAGCTCACACAGGCCTCAAGCAGCTCACACAGGGTGAGTGGGTAGGAGGGAGATAGGAAAATACATTAAGAGATGGTATGGTAGAAATACTGGTAAGCGCTATACACAAGTAAAGCACTGTAAGGATACAGGGAATGCCAGGAGGAAGGCAAGGTAAGGTGGCCAGGCCACACTGGTAAGGTGACTCATGAAATGACATGAAGGGAGCCACCTGAGAAGAGCGGGGAAATGACGACGGCATCCGGCACAGAGGCAGAACTGAGGAGGCAGTGAGGCAGGGAGAGGGCAGTAAGAGGTAAGAGAGAGATGGCAGCGGGGGAGGGTTAAGACCTCACAGACCGGTTTTATTTAAGATGACACGCCTCTAGAGGAATTGGGACAGATGAGTGACATATAGCTGCGTTTTTTTCAAAGCTTGTTAGTTGTGGAAACTTTTGTTCAAAGAGATCCACATGAGATCAATAGGACCTGCTCTGAGTAAGGAAGGGGTACCCAGACTTATGACTACTGACTGGGTCTGCTGCTACTTTCCTTCTCCCTCCTCTGAAGAAGGAGTTTAAAAATGAATACAAAGTCTGTAGCATTCAAACTACCAAAGAACTTCAGGATCCAGCCCCATCCTAACTTTTCAAAAAGCTATTCCCGGAGATCAGGAAAAAGGAGTAAATCAAGTTGCTGATACATACATAGTAGAGGAGCAAATGTGTTGCAACAAAGATCATTCTTGCTAACATCCTTATCCACCAAGCACCAAGGCACAGTGTGCAACAGCCCCTATCCTCCCACACTCCTCAGGCTACATGCTACCCTCTACAGCCAGGGCTCGCTTGCTGGGCTTCCCTTAATACTCATTTTAACTTGATTCCACTTGATTAAAAGTGTTATAGCAAAACAGATCTGCCTCTGCTGACACATCTCTTAGTATAGCCTCTTTGTTAATTTACATTTGAGTAAATTCTTCCTCCCCTAGTGTTATTTCTTCTATCAGTAATGACTTTCCAGTTTGCCTTATTCTAATCCTACCGACCCATCAGCCTACTTTGTGAAGCCTTTCTTCCCACATCTGACCCTTAACTGTATCTTAAATCTTTGGAATGTGACAGGAACTTGCAGGCCATCTGGTCCCTCTAGGTTACTGCTTGTTTCATGGACTAACCCTCTGCAGATTTGGCTGATAGTCTCCCAGCTTCTGTGACTACTTTTAGTGACAAGCACACACTAGCCCACAAGGCAACCCTTGCTCTTTCAGACAAACAGTAATTATGAGAAATCATTTCTACTGATTCAGAACCTGTTTCCATCTACCACTGTTTCTGCCGCTAATAGAGGAAAGCCTGACACCACCACTCCCCTGCCCCTGTATAGCTTATAGTTGGCCTTAGCTTACAGTTGTTTCCCCCCTTTTCTGGCTCCACCTCTAAAACTCCTCCCAATTCCCCGGCCACCTCATAGGCCATCTCTGAAATCTGCATTCAGTCTGTAAAGATTAGCTAACAGATTCGATGTGTGTGTGTGTAACTGGCAGAGTCCAGTGTCCCATACCATAGGTTACACCCCTTTTCCTGATTCTCAACTTTGAACTCTCTTAGGACTTTGACACTTAGCCTTGCATTCATCACTGTGCATTCTGTTAGTAAGCATTTACTGAGCACTTTCAGGAAACAAAGTAGGTACTAAAAATATTAAAGTAAATATAATGAACTCAGCTCACAGAGAGTAAGAGCAAGATAGGCAAAATAATAAGTAGCTGGGGAAGCTAGAGAAGGCTCAGAAGGGATATCTGAGCCAGAGAGGAACTGTAGTAACACCCATTTCACACAGCTTTGGGTGCCCAGCACCAAATGTTACAAATGCTTTGCCCTGAGCTGATGTTCAACAAATATGTAAATTTAGTAAAGCAAAGAAAGCCTGCTCAGCTCCCTCAGTCTCTCTTGGAGGTGAGGACAAGTGATCACTGAATCCATAGTCTGGCCAGGGTAGTTGCAGAGGTTGACTGACACTGTACCTGGCTACGTACCGTATTGCTCAGGTGGTTGTCCTCGGACATCTGTGCATTCTGGAAGTAGGATAAGGGTGCAGGTAACTCTGTCATTGAAGCAACTGTACAGAAATACTTTTTCACAGATGACAAAGCCTCTTGGGGTTCTGAAAGTGAAAAAGAAAACAATTCTTTGTGCATTATACTTTGATTTGTAAACACTTTCATATAGTACATTCAACAAAATAAACCTTTTTTTCATGTGTTCTCCTCCAGGCAGGCCACGCTGTCTAAGGACCTCGCAGGCTGTTGTCACTTGCAGGCTCCCAGGTTATATCTGAAACAGGATTTTACCAGGTCACCCAGCATCGGTCAAATCCTAGTAAATCTATTCACATCAATCAAATATTTAATAAAACCAATTTGTAAACCAGAAATACATTAATTTGCCGTGACCTTCAACTGACAAACTTTTGTCAGTTCATGATCCCTCTTTGGTAATGAGCAGATCTATTTGAAAGACCAAGTGCTTTCAATCACAAAGACATCTAATGATTTCAGACTGACAGCAAAAGGGAGGAAAAGGGAGGTGAATGATCTTAAGTAATGTTCTCATCAACATTCCTTTTTCTATGCTGACCAAGCCAAACTAACTTTTATATCTCCATAAAATATTGTCTAGTGCTTTTAGTTTTGCAAAATTCTATCATCTCATTTTATTCTTACCATTATGTCCCAAGGCAGGGCAAATAGATAGGTAACATGCCTATTTTACAAAAGCAGAAGAGGACCCAAGTTCAGTGACTTGCTTAAAACCATACAACAGGGCAGGCAGACCAGGACAGAAATTACAGACTCCTGCCTCCCAGCCTCAGGATTTTGCTTTGCCTTCTGGCACAGCCTTGTCTACACACATTACTCTGTGTCCCAGAGTTTGTCCTCCTGGGCAGCCACATTCTCATTTGCCCCTTCCCATTTGCCATACCTTAACTTCCATCAGCTAATTCTTTATGAATTCAACTTTCCTTTCCATAGAAGTTTTTAGAAATACAGAAGGAAAAAATCTGTTCATATATGTAAGTGGTATTCCAATTCATGCATATCTAAAACATTACCATACACATATTTACATGAAAGCATTTTGTCAATGTCCTGTTTCATTTTCCTTTCAGGATCTTCTACCCTCTAAGTATTCCACTTTTTTAGTCTAATGATTTTTCATCAAGAACACATAAAGCCACTTTTTACTCTACTAAAGGTATCACTTTCAAATTAACCCTTAATTACCTATATTTGGCTCAATCACATCATGACAGATTTCTAACCAAGGTATGTTTTCCCTTGTATCTTCTATCCCACATGCTTTTCTATGCCATGCCTATCCTTCCTCCTCCCCTCCAATTTCAGCCCACAGTTAGCTGGCACTGGACCAGAGGACAAAAAATTAATATTAACATGACAAAATTAATTTATATTTGTTTTAAAAATAAAGTGAAATAAAAACACAAATAGAGAAAGTAACTACTTTTATGGGGAGTCACTGGAAGGTGGTACATGGGAAACTGGGGGTATTGGTAATGTTTGTTTCTTGGTTGGGATGGTGATTACATAGGAGTTTCAGTCTGTGAAAATGAACAGAGCTATAAACCAATACCTGTGCATGCTTCCATATACTTTAGTCAAAAAATTCAAGTGGACTTTTGTGGGAGTAAACCTATATTTAGGGTTGTTCATACCATGGGGCCTATCTTCTAAAGTGGATAAAATTAAGACTTGGCAATATGTATGTTCATTTACCCAAAAGTGAGGAAGATTCCAAAATATTAGTTATATTTTCTAAGGGCAATAAGTATTCAAAGTGAATGTCTGACCTATGTTTCTAAAGATTTTTGAAAACTAATTGAAACTTTAATATTAATGTAGCATTAATGATCAGAACACATATTATCCCCTTGCTTCCCATAAAAACATTTAATATAGCACCTACTACCTTAGCCCAGAAATGCCACAGGATGGCAACAGAAAAAGCTGCAATTAGTTACCTCCACTGGCTGCTCTGACAATACCATATCATTTAAAGCACAGCTCTATTAAAGGAAAACCCTCAGATACGTCATTAATGTTCTCTATGATCCCTCAGAAACAAAACAAATAAGACAGTATTAGCTAAATGAAGCAAGAAAGGGCAACGCAGGCAAAAATAAAAAGTAAATTACATTTACAGCAAAATATGAGAGGAAAAGTGATTATTCATTCAGTAGTTTACCAGCTGTCTACTTATATCAAAACTCAGAGACAGACACTGAGAGGATTTCATTAATTACATTTACTTTACCCATTTTACAGATGAAAATGTGCAATACAGAAGTTCACTAACTTGCCCAAGGTCACACCCAGTTAGCAAAGGAGCAAAGCAAAGGCTCACACATTACACTGTTGCCTCTGTAAAACTCCATCCCCGCCCTTTTAGGAGTTTACAGCAATGAGCATTAAATACAGTGAGCTAATTTTTATTACTAGTAAAACTACTACTTAGGAGTAAAAGAGATATTTTTAAAAAGTAGTAGTAAATGAGATCTTAAACTTCAATAACTGGTCTAACTATAAATTAAAAACTGAAGTGCCAAAAGCATTCCCAACACAGAGTCCCAGTGTTTATTAGAGAAGCAGCAGGAGCAGCAACAGCTACAGTGAGAATCTGGTCATTTTAAGTAGTTTCCATTATTAGCCCTATGCTTACAGGATCTGTTTTAGTCATTATAAGAAACAAAAAAACTGGTTATCATATCCGACCTTTCTCAGATAAGTCTGGTAAGAATCATAAATAATATAGCAGTCACTTAGGCATAACCCAATACTATTTCCAAAGGCACATCTGTATTTACAGACGAAAAACTAAAGCTCAGGAGAGGTGAAAGAATTTGCCAGGGCACAATTATAGGGCAAGTTAGACCAGTTCTGGAGCCCAGGTATTCTGACACCCAGCCCAGGTCTTTTCCAGTTCACCCAGAGAAGCTCATGCTTTCACTGACACTTTGAAGACCACAACGCTGCAGGGTGACCCTCCCTGGAAGAGCTGCTCCTTCCTGGAGCTCAGTAGGAAGCAGATGCAGGTGATATGGCTTGCTCGATCTTCACTCAGGCCTGGTGAACAAACACTGTTCATACAAGGAAAGGGGCAGGCAAAGCCAGATTTGATTCTGGTCCAGTAACAGCTGAAAACAAATGATGATTGCATGGAGAAGGCCAATGACCCCACTGTTCAGGCAGTGTGGCAAAAGACACTAGCTTACTTTATGACATTCTTTGCATTCTTGCCCTGAGGACAAGAAAAGACAGATGTTGGGAAGTGAGGATCTTTCATGTGACCTGGATTGCAGAGAGAGTGGGAATTGGGACAGCAGATTTTGGTGTTTTCTCTCTCTGGCCACCTGCTAAAGATTTTCTGAGATTGACATAGCACATTTGAATTCACTGTCGTCTGTTTCCTTTTTCTTGGGACACTTGCTCAGTCAGATAAAAGGAAAAAGAAATCATTCTGATGGGCAACTACAATTTCTTTTCATTATATACAATGAGACTAAGAAAACCCTAGAGAACACAAATAATCTTGAAGTTTAGATGTGAACAGAAAAGTCTATCTAACCAGAACCTTCTATCCATCAGCACTTCAAAAAGTATCACAGAAGCAATGTTTACAATCTCAAAGTAAGTTTATTAAAAATCCCATTTAAAGAAGCACCAACAGAAAAGTACATTTCTGTCTCTCACTATATCTCAAGGTAACAACTAACCCTCAAACTCTTATAACATGGTTACTTAAGTATTGATTCCATTTTCTTTCTTCACTCTCAGAGATAAATGTCAACAAAATTTGTACTCCTCAAAAACAAATATCTTCATGGGACTTTTTATCATGATCTTCTCCAGCACAAAGGTCTTGTGGCTTGCTTTAATGACTCCAGATAGCACTTAACTAGTTTCTCCTTTACTTAGAAAACCACCAGAAGCACTTTTTAAATTATCTTTGTATTGTAATGCTAAGAAGTTTTCAAATGCTAAATGAGCTTCTGATTTACTCTTTTTCCACAAAAGTATTTAAGCAGCTTTGATTTTACTTTGACAACTTTCTAGACAGGCAGTCTAAGTTCTGATTATATGGATGGGCTGGGACAGCCTCATACCAACAGTAAATGTAACCAATCTCCAAACCTCATTCTGTAATTAAAATTAACAAAAATAATTAGAAATTAATTTAAAACTTTAGGAATACATCCTGGAAAGGCTACTCTTGAGTTTTAAGAGACCCGGAGCAAGTAAATTTCCCTAGCCCTATGAGAGTCTTTGTGAAAGTGGTAGACCCTAAAAAGAGCAAGGATAGTGACACATCCTATCTGGAGATTTATTTTTTCTCCTTCCATCCCACTCCACTTCAGTGAACCATCTGTGATACATTAGATTATTTTTCAGCAAATATTCACTTCCTCCCCCACCTCCCCCAGTATCCCCAAGAGAGGAACATACTTCTCCAGTAAAGTTTGCTTTGGCTTTGTGAGTTGCATTGGCCTCAAGATGGGTGCAGTTTACTACCCACCCTGTTGATGCTGTGGGGCACAAACATATGACTTGTTTGGTCAACAGGGTCTTAAGAGGATGTGGCACAAGCAGACACTTGGACTGTGCTTGTGCAGTTGGCTTTGCTTTTTTGTACTCCTCTGGTTGCCCTGAGAAGAGTCACTGTCCCTTCAACCTGCTCCCCAGAATAAGACACACAAAGCAGAACTGCCCTAGTTGATTCACAGACCTATATCTTGAAGCAGAGCCTTGAGTGAGAAAAAATGCTCCAAGGCACTAAATTTGGGGCAGTCTGCTGCGTAGAGTTACTGTAATTGTTTTTAAATAATAAATATGGGCTTAGGAGATGCAATGAAAAGAAACAAAGACTTAGAAATTCAGAGTACCTTATCTGAAACCCTTAGGACCAAATGTGTTTAAAATTCTTTTTTTCTTTTTAAATAAAGGTAATATGATACAATTATCATGTTTTATAATGCCCCTCAGGGTCTTAAAAAGAACTACAAAATCAAACACATTAGTAAATATATAGTCAAACGTATAAATAGTCTTAAATTATATAAATAGGTTCAGTTTAGACTGTCCTGTCAAAGGAACCTTGAAAAGTCTTTCAGATTTTTTAGGGGATTTTAGATTTCAGAATTGTAGATATAGGACTACGGTCCTATACTATCAATATCTGTATAATTATAAAGAATCTTTCCCTCAAAAACATTTATTTTAGTAACTCTAAATGGAAGGTATGATTACCCCGAGTCATTATTTCAAATTCACTGTGGAAATGGGTGGAGTGCAACTAATCTTTAATGAAAAAAATGAGTACTCACATCTAATTAATCATTGGTTATATTTAGCAATGCTCCAATCCTCACTTTTACTTTAGATCAACTTAAGAACTGTACAAGGCATTGTGAAAATCAAATACTAATACCCTTTAATCAACTAACACTTACTGGGTTTCTTCTACATAACCAGACATTGATAGGTGCTGGGAATGCCAATGCATCAGAAAACGCTTGTTTACTTAAGTTGTTCACTATCTAAACGGGGAGACAGACAAGCACATTTTTTATGTTAGTCACATGTTGACATAAAAACATTTTAAGTGTACTGAGTTACATAAAATATATTATTCCAATTAATTTTACCCTTTTCCTTCTACCTTTAAAAAATGTGATTAGAAATTTAAAGTTAATATTTGTAGCTCACATTGTCCATTGGACAGTGCTGTTCTAGATCTTCAGTTCTTTCTGCTATACCAGACCTAACATGAAAATCCCTGACCTTTTCCTTCCTGAAGCTTCCCTCCCTTCCTCAGCCTTTGTGACACTGCTCTACGAAGCTTTTCCTCCTAACACTCATTCCCCTCAGCTGGTTCCCTGTCCTCCTTCCACCTCTCTCATTGTAAGTGTTCTTAACGGTCGGCCTGGGCTCCTTGTCCCCTTCCTTTCCTCAGGCATCTTCTCCACTGCTCCAACAACAGCTGGTAAGTCTACTTAAGTGACTCTTACGTCTACAGCTCCAGGCCTATCCACAGGACATTTTCACTTGACGGCACTTCAAAAGTGATACTTCAAACCACTTCTTCATTTTCCTCTCAACTAGTTCTTTGCTCCTAACTTTCTCATTTCTGTGATAGTTTCCTCCCATCTCTAAACTTAAAGCCTCCTAGTCATCTTTACACCTTATTCCTGGCTCCTCAATTGGCTTCCATGTCCTGTATGTGTTTTTCCTCCTTTCTAAGCCTCTGCCATCACTGAAGATCAAACTCATTATATCTCACCTGTATTATACAAGTTACCTCTATTCTCTTATCCATTCTCCTTCCTACTACCAGCTTAATGCGCCGAAAGAAAAGCTCTGACCCCAACAGTGCAACACTCAGAATACCTTCCCAATCTGGCTGGCAGCCATCCCATGAAGGAGAGACAGTACTAGTGAAGATTTTTCAGAATATATCCAAAAGAAGTCTCTCCCTACCATCTGATATAATATGAGTGGGAGAGCAGGAGCAAAGGGAACCTGGATTGAGAGAGAGGGAGACAAAGAGAGAAAAGAGAACCATATAAGCTTTGGTAACAGACAAATGGTGTAACTTTCCTGCTAAGATGATTCTCAGAGACCAACTCCAGTCCTCCGGTTCTCGCCAAATGGAAACTGATGCAGCAGTCTAGGACTAGCAGCAGCCACTAACTTAAAATTCAGTAATAAATCATATCCATTTACAGGAAAATATACCCAGACTGTGGTAACTGTCTACCCAAGGCCCAGAGTAGAAGAGCGGAAAATCAAATGATAGATGTCACTTCTATCATTTTTTTGGTGGGGTGATGATGGGGAGAGGAATCCATACACTCAATAAATAGGCTTCTTTTTTCGTTGTTAAGGGCTTGTTATTAAATGGGAGTGAGGGACTTTATCTGTGTAAGAGTTGAGATCTGAAATAGGCTTTTGCAGGTGACTGAAATTAGCCAAATATAACAAGCTTCAATCTACTTCCCTGTTTTATTTACCCCTCCTTCATAACAGTTATTTAATGTTCAGACTGGGTCACTGAACCCTTACTGTCCAGGGGGCCCCTATTTGCAGGACACCTGATAAAAATTCCCTCCCCACTTCAACTCCAACGGTGAAAACCTTTCCATTGTAAAAGATAATTCAAATCACAAGATTCCCTTAATCATGTGATCTCTACCTGCCTCAAACTTGAATGTTGTAACCTTCACACCGTGCTGTCATATAGTTATTATACATGCCATATAGTTATTTGCAAACTATTTTTATCTCCCATAGTAACCCTTTAATACTTTATTTTTCTTGTCCAAAACAGGCAAGCAATGCTTTAAAAATTATTAAATTACTTTACGACTGGAGAAGCAGATATTTGAAACAATCTGAGCGGGAAGAAAACGCAAATATCTAAGACACACGCAAACCACTGGACATACATGCCTCATGACAATCCCGATCAAGGCAAAACATCAGACCCTTTTTCCACCCTGAACGGAGGTTTAAGGAACTTAGCCCTTAAGCGCCACTCGAATTCCTTAACAAGGACACACTCAGGGCATGAGGTGCGGAGTTTCACTAGTTGCTCAACCAGAACCAGCCCAAGGCTCTTCCTCTTTCTCCTACTCCACTCCAGCCCAGACGGCCAATCCCGGCCGAAGGCACCTGCGCCCTCGGATGTCTTTGGGACACCAGCACTTCCGGACCAAGGTTCCGAAGGGGAGGCTCTCTTTAACCTGACCGCGCGCTGCGCCCGGAGCCCCGAGAAACCGGCCGCCCCTCCTCTTTCCCCACGGGTTCCTCGGTCTCCGCCCAACCTCGCTCCGCTCATCCTCGAGGACACCGGCTAAGCGGCCCGGGCGGCGACAAAGGGCCAGGCCCTGCACGCGGCTGCCCGTATCGGCACCGGTGACCAGCGCCTTCGTCTGAACCCAGACCCCTCATCACGCACCTACGCTTTCCTCGCCGCCGCCACCGGCCGCTCGCAACCAAGGTTCCTTCCCGAGCAGCCGCTGTTTTGTTTCCGATGTGAAATCGCGGCCTCAGAAACTGCCCGGCCGAGGCCCCGCCCCAACGGCTTCACCTGTGTCGTCATTTCCGGCTCTGTTGTCGTTGGAGGCCAGCCCTCCGGGGGAGGAGCGAGGCCCACGAACAAAACGAAAAGGGGTGGGGTTTCCAGTGGTGCGCTCTGATGGCGGAGGAAAACCCTGCGTTCCAGCCTGCCTCCGGAACCTAGGGTAACCCTGCCCACGATGAAGAGTGAGTCTGAGGTTGTCTGGGATGAGGAACTGTTCTTGAGCTGCGGGACCGGAGTTTCTGCATAAAGTGGGTCCTGCGTGTGCTTCTCCAGGCTACAAGTGATGGCATCTTAAATCTAACGTTTCGTCATTTCTCTGTAGTACCTATTTGTAGTGTTTCTCGGTGTGAATCAGCTGCACCACAATCAAGAGGCTGCTAATTAAAATCATAAATATCTCTGCACTCCACCCGCTACCCAATGAATCAAAACTTTTAAGAGGAAGCGAGAACCTGAGAGACTGCATTTAAAACAAACATCGCCTGGTAATTATTGCTGGGCTCCAAGTTTCATGGCAAACTTCCAGAGAGCAGAAATGTGTCTTACCTTTGTAATCCCCAAATCAAAAAAGAGTATCTGGTACACGGTGAGTTGCTCCACGGTCACTTGATTTTTGCATCTGTCTGCTTTTTGGCCAAATTGCGGTAAAGACAATACCAATAACTAACCCCTTAATAACCGACTCGCACTCACCTGGAAGCTAAAAGTAATGACTACTACCAGGTAAAACCAAATGTGAACAATGGAGAAATGTTCATACTACAACTAACCAGAAAACTTAAAATGAAATCAACTTAATGAGTTACTTGCAAATTCCTCCTCCAAGATAGCCCTTCATATTCCTAAAGCATCAATCCCAATCTCCCCCCACCTCCAATACATGAACAAATTTAAACAGGTTTTACCCACAACTTAATATTTAACCAAGTTTTTCCCATTAACAGAAAACAGATTAGTTGAATAGTCTCACCACCCTCCCCAGAAAGATATATTTTTTTTAAAGTTTCTCCTCTTTCCTTCCTTCAGATTCCCAAGAGAAGGAATTTTTGCCTGTTTGTTCAGTTATATATTGCAAATGCTGAGAACAGTGCCTTAGCACATAAAACAGTTCAATACATTTGTCAAGTATAGTCTAAAGCCCATCCATTTGTGATCTAGTTCAATCTCTTAAATCAATCTGGTAATATAAGTATAAAGTCTTAAAATGATGGTAAACTATTCTTAGAAATCTCAAAAAAAAAGTTTTGTGCAAAGATGTTTGTGGAGATCATAGCAAAAATTGGAAAGCTAAAATTCCTACAAAAAAATTATGGTTCATCCACTTCACAGAATGTCAGTAAAATTGTTTATGAAGATTATGTATAACAGAAACATTCCTGTTAAAAACTAAAGACACAGATTTATATGTATAAATACAACTATGTCAAAGACATTCCTGCAAAAAGGACAGAAAATGACAAAAAAGCAATGAGTGACCTTTAATAACTAGACAACATATAACTTTTCTCTCCAGTTTTATTTCTTCATCTTCTTAAGGATATGAAATACTCAAGATTCGCCAGAGTCAGCAAAGACTCTGGGAATAACACAGACTAGAAGAACAAGACAAAAATTATATTCTAGACACCATGAATAAGAGTCCGAAATAGCTTACGTCCATACTGCTAAGAGAGTAACTAGGGTGTACACCCTTACAAGGGCAGTCTCATTTAGGTTATCACCAGTCATCAGTGGAATGGTGAGATACAAAAGTTGAGATGAGAAATTTGGAGGATACATTAAACTATAAACTACTACTGTGGAATCTTTATAGTGTAGTGAATAGGAGATAGGATTCTAGGTTAAGTTTTTGTGTTCTTGAAAACTTATTCGACAGAAGGAAAAAGAAAGTGGAAATACATGAGCAAGGCTCAAGAAACTGCAAAATGTGGTTAGAAACCAGAGCCAGTGGAGTGGGGAAGGTTTTCTGGATAGGATGGATGGGAGTATTTATCATTAACTATAAAAAGCAAAGGTTTAACTTGGTGAAGGGGGGAGCCTAATAAGCAATGTTCCTAAAAAAAAAAAAAAAAAAAACCACAAAGGTTTAAGGTACACAACATCATAAAAATTGGAGAACTAGAACTGGATAGAACGTGCTTAATGACTTTGAATTTTGTTAAGTCTGAGAGTTATTTGCTAAGGGGTAAAATCAAATTAGTTATTTTTTCCATACTTACTATAGCACTGGAGGCTTAAAAACAGTAAAAGCTGCACTGTGCGGTAAGGACCTGAAGTTCAGTAAAAGAATGAGAAAAATAGTATGGTGGATTCAGATTATCTGCAGTGGTGCATTTACATTTTCCCCATTTGTGTTTGTATACCTGGATGCAGGAAGGGAGAAACAAGTGATAAACAAAAAGTGAATGGTGGCAAGAACTAATAGTAAGTGGTGAAAAAGGAAGCAGACAGGAAATCCAAAGTGCTGGACCTGTTAGAACTATTTGGGGAAGGGGGTTGTAAGAGACAAGAGAGGCTAGAGGAGCCACTAGTCACTAGTCTAAGCCAGGACCTAATCAATCAGACCCAAGGCCAAAGTTCTTTACACCATTGATTCTAAGGCAATCCAATTCAGTAACACTTCCTACATAAACAAGTTTCTTGTGTGTGTGATGTCAATGACTTGTATGGAAATAGAACTGAAATATGAGATTAAATATTGTCATCAGGCCTGGGTGCTTGGCCACATTCTATCATACTAGCTCTCACATCGTTCTGAGTCTTTGCAAGGATCTCCTTAAATTAGGAGCTGCTAAAGATGAAGGACTGGCTTTATCACTCAGCATGTACTGTTTGCCTCTAGATCTGTTCATGTTTGTCAGTATCTTATTAAATCTAATCACCTTTTTAACCAAGAATCTGGACCTCTTTTTAAAAAACCTGCCTCAGTAATATACTTAACAAGTGAAACTTTAGTATGTAGCTTTCCCACCTACAGCAACAGTCTTTTCACCTGGGTATATATGACAGTATTTTTAAATTGACGAGAAAAAAAAAAGAACCTTCATAGTTTCTGGATTCTATAGTGTAGTTCACTAGTTTTTATATTATAAAAAAGAGGAAGTTGTTTAGAACTATTTTAATATCCATACTTTTTGTTTCAACAAGTTTGCTAAAAATGTTTCCTACAGGACAATTTTACTAACAAGCACTTTCCTCTGCACTTAGGTCAGTATCAGCATTGTGGATAAAGTAAAGGTTCCTGTGGTCAGGATTCTCACCTGGCTCTGGTCGGCTAGCTCAGTACACACGTGTGGGCAATACTGTTATTGATTCTATATAAAGAGCTCTGCCCAGTGCTCTGGGTGACACGGTGGCATAGCTGCAAGGGAGCAGAGATGACTGCAGTGTGGTAGCACCGAGGACAGAGACGGAGATGGCTGCTGGGGTAGAAAGGCCCAGAGGCAGAGACTGGCTTGCTGCATGCGGACATGCACTGTGTGGATGGGATTCTAGTGATTGACCTGCCATTGTGGGAATAAAGTTGGGTGTATCCCTTTCACCCCAAGAAAGTGTCCATTGTTGTTCCTTGGTCTCATTGAATCCATAGTGAACTTGTCCAGGGTTGAAACCCATTGGCAAGAAAAGCATCTAGGCCACAGCTGTTCAAAGTAACTTTATGCAATCATTATGGTCTATATTCTACAGTGTCCATCCAATATTGGTAGCCACTAGCTATTTATGGCTATTAGATGCTTGAAATATATTGTAATAAAACTGGGTTTTTAATTTTACTGACTTTTGGAGACTTGAAATATGGTTAGTGTGATTAAACTGAGTTAAATTTAATTTAAAAACCTGATGGTGCTGATCTAGACCATGAATTAGAATCCCATATACAGGCCTCTAGATACCCATCTGTCAAGAACATTTGTAGCAGTGCTGCATTGGGTAGACAGACTATGTGAGCTCTAAGGTTATCACTGCTGAGAATCTTTTACTTTTCCTCTCAACCGTTAAGTTAGCTGAAGTTTGACAGTTCATATTTTGTATTTGTGTCTACTAATGTTCCTCATTCTTCTCCACCCTAGATTGTTCAGGGATATCTTATGTCTGTCACTGCACCTATTTTATAGCATGAATGGCAGGCAGCACATATTAAGTGTGCTTCAAAGGCTAAATATAAAGTTATACACAAAAAACAGAAGGGCTACCTGCTTAACAATTCAGCTACCACTCTGTTTAAGAATCTAAGTCATCAATCCAACGCATATGTGATGTTGTAGAACAGGGTGACTTTGATGTGTCATTTAATTCAAACAACATGGCTTGGAAAGAAATTTTTACTTATTTTTGCTTATAAAAAGTCTTGTCTGCCTAGGTGTTTTAGACTGCCATTCTTAATTTGGCCTTCATGAGTCAAAATAATAAAATGAAAGGCAAAGAATCTGTCACGCTAAAAATGAAAATGCAAGCATTCAAATGCAAGTAAATTTCAATAATTTAATGATATTTCAAAAAATCTACAGTTCATCAAAAATTACCAGCTAACTTTGGTTCTATAGTATGAATGTAATAGTAATGGTTCTTGAGTTTGAAAATACATGACTTTCCCAGTTTTCTTCCTGACACACTGTTTCTTTGCCTATCTGGGTTTCCTTCGGATTCCCTTTATATCCAGTGGCACTCACAGAACAAATTCACCATCTTCTTGCTGAGCAAAACTATTGCTAAATTCCCTACTGTTAAAAGAAGGTTGGAATATGACCTCGACTGTCATAAAACCTTTTGGCAGTTTTTGGGTAGAAAGTGGAAACATTCATTGAACTTATTAGAAAAAGGGGGGTAAATAAGCCTCATATACCTGTTTATTTTCATTTAAATTTTTTATTCATATGAAGGGAGGAAAAAACGTTAATAGTGTTTAGTCTGGTTCCCAAGCTTAACATTTTCTCAATTTGTTCACCATATCTACTATTCCTGCCTGATTAGAACCTGATACAGCACTCTCCACAAAATTATTAGCCTCTACTGTATTACATGAAGATTATCAGACACTACATTAAGATTTAATTAACAACAAAGTTCTCTAATAAGGAAATGTTCTGAAACTGGCTGGGAATAAAGCCTAGAATATTAGAACTGTTCTTGAGCATCATTTTTAGATTATGTTCATGAATATACATAATGTGTATCTGTTTATTTGCACCCCCCCCCCAAATACTTTTTCTCTTTAAAATCTACTTACAAAGAAAACTAAGCTCCAATTGTGTAGTCTGTTAGAATTAAGTACAATACAGGTATCCTCCACTTTTCAAAAGTTTGTTACACCACTTAACTTTCACTAAAGATTTACATTAGTACCTGTTTTTGCTAGCCAAATGAAATCCAGAGGATTTTCACTATTATGAAAAAACGCAAAAAGTGGAAATAACATTTAGCGTTTTTTTTGCAGGAGTGGCACCACCCAGTTCCTCCCCCAGAAATTACACTCAGCATCTCAATCAAGCTGCCATAGCCTTGAATTGTGAGCATTTGTGCTTTATCTCGATTTATTTGTGCATTTGTAAGCAAGATGTATCCCTAAGGTATCAGAAAAGTCTAAGAGAGGTTATACTTAGGGTCTGGGAACACTCAAAAGTTTTTACATATAAACTTAACAGCTATATGCCATCTTGGCTTAAAGAAGGTTTCATAGGAATGCTCTATATCTGATATGAGGGAAACTTGTACTAAGTAGATGAACTGCTAATCAAAGTGTAGTCCTTGGATCAGTGAGCACTGGCATCACGTGGGAGCTGATACGTGAAAACACCTCAGGACCCATGCTAGCCCTACTAAATCAATCTGCATTATAACAACATTCCCCAGGTGATGCAGGTACATATTAAAGTTTGAGAATAACTACTTTCTCCTGTAGACAGATGTACATATTTAAAATTACTTTGTTTATAGGGCCAAGTAAAGAAGAAATGTATTGACTTACTAACTGCCAGATCAAGAATGGTTCTCAAGACTTTCATTTAATTTTGTAACAACTTGAATGAACAATACAGATTAAGGTTTCCAAACTGAAATTAATCAATGGGCAAATGGTAAAAACAGGTCAGAAAGCTCAAGCCATTTATTAGAAATGTTCCCATATACTATCCCCAACACTAGAATATGCCAATTATACACGTCCAATTAACATGCAAATCTGAAAAAAACAAACTCTGAAAACCTTTAAGTTTGGTGGCAAAATCTGACTTGAACTGACATTAAGCTATTAACTCAGTGACTATGATCATTCTCGGTCTGCTGCAGAAATGTTAATGAATTTGGAGTCCTGACACAAATCTCACTGGATGTGTATGCCCCAAGGGTTCCAGATAAAGGCCCTTTAAGATAAACAGAGTGAGAGCACTTGGAGAGAGACCAGAGTAAGGGAAATTAAATCCATCTGAATAAATTTCCTTGATAATATTAAATAAAAACAATCTCATATAATGCCTTAGAAGCAATAATAAAGGCAAGATAGAGAGGCATAATAAACTGGTCAAGGTGTTAGGCTTTGAGTCAATCTGAGAAAAGGTAGTAAATGAAATCTGTAAAAGTCAAGGAACATATTTCTGAAATTTTCCCTTGAGAAATGAGAATTTGAGAACTGAAAATATTAAAACTAAAAGAGGTGTATCTCCATAGGTGTACAGATTAATCCAAAATATGGCAAATGGCCTCTTTGATCTTCAGTTACTAATACTTACAAACATCAAGTTCATCAAAAATTTAGCCCATCTTTTCAAGTCAAGTTTCCAGTATGCACTGCACAATTATATGCCATTTATTTATTAACAAGACTCTGAAAGAATGAGTCCCCAAGATCAAATATATACATTTTTAATATCTGAAGTTAATTTACATAATGGAACCATGTCATAGCCCAATGTTAAGAACAGTGTTTTCAAATGTTCTCTTAAGATGTAATTTTTAAAAAATCTAGTAACTCAAGCTCAGTTATACTTTTTTAACACTCCCCACCCCAACCTTTATTTTTCTTTTAAATTAAATATTCAGACATGGGAATGGTTGCACCTAATTTGTGTTAAGAACTGTTTAAAACTTACTACATTTTCAGATAATTTTGCTCCCTGGTGAAGCTCTGACCTACAATGAAGAAAAGCTCCATGTATATCTCTAGGAAGATCATCAATATATTTTTTAGACTTTAATGAGCAGAGGTAAACAGGTGTGTGGATATGTACACACAAGATATAAAATCTTTACAAAAAATAAGTGAAAACACAAATTGTGGTAACTGCTTTAAATGACTTACTTTATCCTCAAATATAGGATGTAAACTTTGCAGACTGGCATGCTAAATTTCTATTAAATTTGTCACACTTTCCTAGTCTGTAAAATTACTTAAATTTTGCCTTTCATTTTTAAAAAGGATTTTTTTCACTTATGCTTTTCAGATTGTTTTTTAAACAAAGGGGTACACCAAAATAAACTAAGTATCAGTTAGTGCAAAAATGCATTAAATAAAGCTCTCCAGAATCTAAGGATCTGCTTCATTTCCGGACAATGCAATTAGAGGTGAAAGTCACTAGGATTCACTCACACTCTAAAAGAGAGGCTTAAGCAGACAGATCAACAGGAAAAAGCCATTCTGTTCAACAGACTGCTGCTTGCCACAAGAGAGTATACCACCCACTGGGAGACTAATAATCAATTATACCAGACAACTGGGTTGACACAATACCATGTTTCCCTTACAATTCTATTCTTCAACTAGGAAATGTTTAAGGGAGCCCTCCAAAGCAAAGTAGGGAAAATTAAGACTCTTACACATACATTCACACAAACACATTCATACAAAGACACAGTAGGAAGGGATTGTCTCCTAATTTTTGCAATCTAATTTTAAGTTCCATGCCTTTAGGAGGGGTTGTCATTTCTGATCAAGAGGGGAAAGGGTAAGGGTGTGATTGGTATTCTTTCAATTAAAATTGTTCATGTTGGTTCCTGTACAGTATAGATCAATATTAAGTGCAATTCTGCAAAAGAATTGGGGAGTCATTTTAATATTTACAAGAAACAAATCAGCAGAACAAGATTATATCAGATAGGCTGTGTACAGTAGCTGCGGCTTATAAAACATACCAGTATTTTGTACCTGGTGAGTATAAAGAGAACCAAGGTAGGATTCAGATGTCTTTACAACCAAGGGAGTACACAGAGCATCAACAAATTAGAGGACAAAAAAATTCACATTTTCTACATAAAAAAAAAATTACAGATCCTCACAAATGTCTTTGAAGACAAAGAAAAATCCAAAGTCCTTTAAAGGGTGGGAAAGAAGAAATCTGAAATGGAACTGTAAATGTAAAATGTTTACTTCACAAGACCAATTTTCTTCGCTTCTGTTTCATATATCAATAACCTCCACATTTTGACTATAAAAACTTCTGCTTCTTCATCAAGTACCTAAAAAAGAAAAAGAAGAAACAGTACCATTTGTTAAGATAAGCAATGATCAGCATCTCCAAACAGTCGCAGCTGGTACTAAAACAAGGCTTTTATCTACCAAAAACATGTACTTTCAATAAATGACTTGAAGGAAATCTGGTGTGTGAGGAATGTATTGAGCAGTACATGTAAATTACCAAAAGAAGAAGAGCATTTGGCAAAATTTCAGAAATTACTAAATACTGACACCACTATACTTTTCTGACTCAACTTATATTCTCCCTGTTACTTTTATTAACATTACAAATACTATACATTTATACATGTCTTAAAAAATGATTCCCGAGGAGGAGCCAAGATGGTGGCGTGAGTAGGGCAGCGGAAATCTCATCCCAAAATCACATATATTTTTGAAAATACATCAAATACAACTATTCCTAAAAGAGAGACCAGAAGATACAGTACAACAGCCAGGGTACATCTACATTGGCCTCACGAAGGGGCTAAGATACAAGCTGCAGCCTGGCAGGACCTGAGCGCTCAACCCACCCCAGCTCCCCCGCGAGACGAGAGGAGTTGGAGAGGGGAGAGTGGAAGCCAAGGGCTGCTAAATACCCAGCCCTAGTCATCCGCACTGGGAGCACAGACACACATTCAGTGGTGTTCTGGATATTAGGGAAATGGAACAATAAAATCTGCAAGCAGGTCCCCGCAGGTGGTACCCCAAACCGAGTGCTTTTTTAAAGTCTTAAAGGCACAGGGGCCTCAGACCTGGACAGAAGCGTCCCAGCACACTCAGCCCAGCAGCTGGGAAACCTGGGGAATTTCAGGCGCCCGAGCACCTGGGAGGCAACACAGCTTGGAAGCCGCTCACAGCAATAAACAGCCTCCCATCTATTCCCCTACAGCACGGCCCCACCATAGCAGGGGTGCAGCATGAGCAGCTGCGCCCACAACAACGGCCTAGAGCCTTGTACACAGGCACCCGGGCCAGACTCAGAGGCCCGGCAGGCATGCACAGACAGAGAAAGCTGGGACAGGGCGCGAAGGGTCGCCAATCCCGCAGGAGAGCACACCCAGTGCACCTGCCTCTCTCCGCAGGGCTCTGGGCTACCTAGATGGCTGCCCTGCCCACGGCAGCTCAAGAAATAAAACTGGAAGCTGCTCCAAGTAGGGGAAGGCGACCACCAAGCAGGAAGGGATTTTGTTCTCCCAGCTAACACACGCGCCAACTGCCCACGACTAACTCTATAGCCATGAAAAGGCAGAAGAATCTGATACAGACAAGAATAACCCAGACAACCCCTGAGAGGGAGCCTGAGGAGATAGATTTAACCAATCTTCCTGGAAAAGAATTCAAAATAAAGGTCATAACCATGCTGATGGAGCTGTAGACAAAAATGCAAGAGCTAACGGATAAAGTTGGGAGGGAGAATACAGAAATAAAACAATCTCTGGAAGGACTTAAAAGCAGAATGCACGAGGTGCAAGAGACCATTAATGGAATAGAAATCAGAGAACAGGAACGCAGAGAAGGTGACGCAGAGAGAGATAAAAGGACCACCAGGAATGAAAGAATATTAAGAGAACTGTGTGACCAATCAAAATGGAACAATATTTGCATTATAGGGTTACCAGAAGAAGAAGAGAGAGAAAAAGGGATAGAAAGTATATTTGAAGAAATAATTGCTGAAAACATCCCCAAACTGGGGGAGGAAATAGCCTCTCAGACCACACAAGCACACAGAACTCCCAACAGAAGTGACCCAAGGAGGACAACACCAAGACACATAATAATTAAAATGACAAAGATCAAAGACAAGGACAGAGTATTAAAGGCAGCCAGAGAGAGAAAAAAGGTCACCTACAAAGGAAAACCCAACAGGCTACTATCATCATACTTCTCAACAGAAACCTTATAGACCAGAAGAGAATGGCACGAAATATTTAATGCAATGAAACAGAAGGGCGTTGAACCAAGAATACTGTATCCAGCACAATTATCATTTAAATATGAAGGAGGGATTAAACAATTCATAGGCAAGCAGAAGTTGAGGGAATTTGCCTCCCACAAACCACCTCTACAAGATATTTTAAAAGGATTGCTCTAGATGGAAGCACTCCTAAGGCAAAATAGATGTCATCAGAGAAAATAAAATCACAGCAAAGAAAGCAGACTAACCAAATACTAACTAAAGGCAAAAAATAAAATCAGCTACTCACAAAAGCAGTCAAAGGAAACACAAAGAGCACAGAATAAAACACCTAACATATAAAGAATGGAGGAGGAGGAATAAGGGAGAGAAATAAAGAACCATCAGACTGTGTTTATAATACCTTACTAAGTGAGTTAAGTTAGGCAGTTAGATAGTAAAGAAGCTACCCTTGAACCTTTGGTAACAACAAATCTAAACCTGCAATGGCAGTAAGTACGTATCTTTCAAAAATCACCCTAAATGTAAATGCAACGAATGCCGCAATCAAAGGACAGAGTAACAGAATGGATAAAAAAGCAAGATGCATCTATATGCTGCTCACAAGAGACTCACCTCAAACCCGAAAACACACACAGAATAAAAAAAGTCAAGGGATGGAAAAAGATATTTCATGCAAACAACAGGGAGAAAAAAGCAGGTGTTGCAGTACTAGTATCAGACAAAATAGATTTTAAAACAGAGAAAGTAACGAGATAAAGAAGGACATTACATATTGATAAAGGGGTCAGTCCAACAAGAGGATATAACCATTATAAATATATATGCACCCAATGCAGGAGCACCAACATCTGTGAAACAAGTACTAACAGAATTAAACAAGGAAATACAATGCAATGCATTCATTTCAGGAGACTTCAACACACCACTCACTCCAAAGGGCAGATCCACTAGGCAAAAAATAAGTAAGGACACAGAGGCACTGAACAACACACTAGAACAGATGGACCCAATAGACATCTACAGAACTCTACACCCAAAAGTAGCAGCATACACATTCTTCTCAAGTGCACATGGAACATTCTCCAGAATAGACCACATACTAGGCCACAAAAAGAGCCTCAGTAAATTCAAAAACATTGAAATTCTACCAACCAACTTCTCAGACCACAGAGGTATAAAATTAGAAATAAATTGTACAAAGAAAGCAAAAAGGCTCACAAACACATGGAGGCTTAACAACATGCACCTAAATAATCTATGGATCAATAACCAAATCAAAATAGAGATCAAGCAATATATGGAAACAAATGACAACAGTACAAAGTCCCAACTGTGGGACTTTCGCTGTGGGATGCAGCGAAAGTAGTTCTAAGAGGAAAGTATGTACCAATCCAGGCATATTTAAAGAAGAAAGAAGAATCCCAAATGAATACTTTAAAGTGACAATTATGGAAACTGGAAAAAGAAGAACAAATGAGGCATAAAGTCAGCAGAAGAAGGGACATAATAAAGATCAGAGAAGAAATTAATAAAATTGAGATCAATAAAATAGAAAATATTAACGAAACCAAGAGCTGGTTCTTTGAGAAAATAAAAACAAAATAGATAAGCCTCTAGCCAGACTTATAAAAAGAAAAAGAGAATCTACACACATCAACAGAATCAGGAATGAGAAAGGAAAAATCTCGACAGACCCCACAGAAATACAAAGAATTATTAGAGAATACTACAAAAAAATATATGCTAACAAGCCGGAAAACCTAGAAGAAATGGACAACTTCCTAGAAAAATACAACCTTCCAAGACTGACTCAGAAAGAAACAGAAAATCTAAACAGACCAATTAGCAGCAAAGAAATTGAAACAGTAATCAAAAAACTACCCAAGAGAAAACTCCCGGCCCAGATGGATTTACCACAGAATTTTATCACACATACAGAGAAGACATAATACTCATTCTCCTTAAAGTTTTCCAAAAAATAGAAGAGGGTATACTTCCAGACTCATTCGATGAAGCCAGCATACCCCCAATAGCAAAACCAGGCAAAGACCCCACCAAAAAGGAAAATTACAGACCAATATCCCTGATGAACATAGATGCAAAAATACTTAACAAAATATTAGCAAACCGAATTCAAAAGTACATCAAGAGGATCATACACCATTATCAAGTGGGATTCGTCCCAGGGATGCTAGGATGGTACAACATTAAAAAATCCATCAACATCATCCACCACATAAACAAAAAGAAGGACAAAAATCACACAATCATTTCCATAGATGCTGAAAAAGCATTCGACAAAATTCAACATCCATTCATGATAATGACTCTTAGAAAAATGGGTATAGAGGGCAAGTACCTCAACATAATAAAGGCCATATATGAAAAACAGACAGCCAACATCATACCGAACAACGAGAAGCTGAAAGCATTTCCTCTAAGATCGAGAACAAGACAGGGATGCCCACTCTCCCCACTGTTATTTAACAGAGTACTAGAGGTCCTAGCCATGGCAATCAGACAACACAAAGAAATACAAGACATCCAGATCAGTAAAGAAGAAATCAAACTGTCACCATTTGCAGATGACATGATATTGTACATAAAAAACCCTAAAGACTCCACTCCAAAACTACTAGAACTGATATCGGAATACAGCAAAGTTGCAGGATACAAAATTAACACACAGAAATCTGTGGCTTTCCTATACACTAACAATGAACTAATAGAAAGAGAAACCAGGAAAACAATTCCATTCACAACTGCATCCAAAATAATAAAATACCTAGGAATAAACCTAACCAAGGAAGTGAAAGACCTATACCCTGAAAACTACAAGACATTCTTAAGAGAAATTAAAGAGGACACTAACAAATGGAAACTCATCCCATGCTCTTGGCTAGGAAAATTAGTATCGTCAAAATGGCAATCCTACCCAAAGCAATATACAGATTTAATGCAATTCCTATCAAATTACCAACAGCACTCTTCAACGAACTGGAATAAATAGTTCAAAAATTCATATGAGACCAGCAAAGACCCCAAATAGCCAAAGCAATCTTGAGAAAGAAGAATAAAGTGGGGGGGATCCCGCTCCCCAACTTCAAGCTCTACTACAAAGCCACAGTAATCATGAAAATTTGGTACTGGCACCAGAACTGAGCCACAGACCAGTGGAACAGAATAGAGACTCCAGACATTAACCCAAACATATATGGTCAATTAATAGACAATAAAGGAGCCATGGACATACAATGGGGAAATGACAGTCTCTTCAACAGATGGTGCTGGCAAAACTGGACAGCTACATGTAAGAGAATGAAACTGGATCACTGTCTAACCCCATACACAAAAGTAAATTCGAAATGATCAAAGACTTGAATGTAAGCCATGAAACCATAAAAACTCTTAGGAAAAAACATAGGCAAAAATCTCCTGGACATAAACATGAGCGACTTCTTCATGACCACAACGCCCCCCAGGCAAGGGAAACAAAAGCAAAAATGAAGAAGTGGAACTATATCAAGCTGAAAAGCTTCTGTACAGCAAAGGACACCACCAATAGAACAAAAAGACTTACTACAGTATGAGAGAATACATTCATAAATGACAGATCCAATAAAGGGTTGACATCCAAACTGTATAAAGAGCTCATGCACCTCAACAAACAAAAAGCAAATAATCCAATTAGAAAATGGGCAGAGGACAAGAATGGACTAACAGTTACCAAAAGGAAAGGGACTGGGGAGGATGGGTGGGAAGTGAAAAACAGAAGGGGGCATTACGAGTAGCATGTATAATATAGGGGAGGGCATAGGGAGGGCTGTGCAACACAGTGAAGACAAGTAGTGAATTCTACAGCATCTTACTACACCGATGGACAGTGACTATAATGGGTGTGTGGGAGGGACTTGGTGAAGGGGGGAGCCTAGTAAACATAATGTTCTTCATGTAATTGTAGATTAATGATAACAAAACAAAACAAAAAATGGGCAGAGGAGCTGAACAGATACTTCTCCAAAGAAGAAATTCAGATGGCCAAGACACATGAAAAGATGCTCCACATTGCTAATTATCAGAGAAATGCAAATTAAAGCCATAATGAGATACCACCTCCATCCAAAAGATGAAGAACAACAAATGTTGTTGAGGTTATGGAGAAAGGGGAACCCTCCTACACTGCTTGGTGGGAATGTAAATTAGTTCATCCATTGTGGAAAGCAGTATGGAGGTTCCTCAAAATGCTCAAAATAGAAATACCATTTGACCCAGGAATTCCACTTCTAGGAATTTACCCTAAGAATGCAGCAGCCTAGTTTGAAAAAAGACAGATGCACCCCTATGTTTATCGCAGCACTATTTACAATAGCCAAGAAATGGAAGCAACAATCTACCTAAGTGTCCATCAATAGATGAATGGATAAAGATGTGGTACATATACACAATGGAGTATTATTCAGCCATAAGAAGAAAACAAATCCTACCATTTGCAACAACATGGATGAAGATAGAGGGTAGTATTATGCTCAGTGAAATAAGCCAGGTGGAGAAAGACAAGTACCAAATGATTTCACTCATCTGTGGAGTGTAAGAACAAAGGAAAAACTGAAGGAACAGAACAGCAGCAGAATTACAGAACCCAAGAATAGACTAACAGTTACCAAAGGGAAAGGAACTGGGGAGGATGGGTGGGAAGGGAGGGAGAAGTGGGGGAGAAGAAAGGGGGCCTTACGTAATAGTAGCATGTATAATGTGGTGGTGGTGGGCACAAGGAGGGTTGTGCAACACAGAGAAGACAAGTAGTGATTTTATAGCATCTCACAATGCTGATGTACAGTGACTAATGGGGTATGTGGGGGGGACTTGGTGAAGGGGGGAGTCTAGTAAACATGTTACTCATGTAGTTGTAGATTAATGATACCAAAAAAAAAAAAGGAATTTAAGTGATTAAGGAGTAAAGAGCTGAACTAATTATACTCCAAATATCAGAATACTGCTACAGATCAAAATGTATTCACACGGACACATGATATCTCACGGACAGTGCCTACAACTCTCCAAGGCCAAAAACTACAATACTGATTTCTAAACAAATTCTTTAACTCATGCCTAACTATGAAATCCTCTTTTTACCCAAAGGATAGCCTTAAGAGGCTGGAGGGTGAGGGATGCTCAGAGTCTATTCCCAAGGATTGGGATCTATTCACCCATCTCCTTTTATTGGAGGCTCCGGCACTATGCAGTCAAACTTCAGTGATGTTTCATCAGGATTTCTAAACAGCAGCAGCCAGCAGGCTGGCTGGCAAGAGAGAAACCTGGCTTTAAACATCATATAATGCCTGGACATAAATATAGCAACCTCAGAGCTCCCTTTGGATAGGAGCCCCACTGTGCCCCTCCCTGACAACTCTGGATGCAGCTCACAGTGCTAGTTCTCTCAGTCATCTGTCATCTTATTATCATGCTTGCTGTTTCTTCTTCCTCCAACACATCTTCCACTGCTGCCTTCCCACTGTGCCCTATGGACCAGACCCCTATCCATTCTGTACTAACCATTCTCAACTTCTTTGGTCTTTTCCATCTCCTTGCCTTAAATGAAAACCTAGTATGTCACATAAAGACCCGGACACTCTTGTAGCCCTAATGGAATTTCTAACTTTCAAAGCTTCCGTCTTCACAGGTGAGGGGAAACTGCTGTATCTTCAGTTTCTATCTTGCAAACACCATGTCAAAGTAGGTTCAAAAGATCTCACTACACTACCCTACCCTCTCAGTCCAAAAGCAGCTGTTTAGCAAACACCCAATCTTTCAACCACATTAAATGAGCACTCTTGCATCTGTTTCCTGTATTTCTCCCCAGGTCTCCACAGGCAGGAATTTCAGTTACTATGTGTATGACCCAGGCTTAAAGTTCATTGACAATCTAAACAATGACAACAACTCTGCCCCAGACACTCTCCCATTGCCATATTTTGCACCTTGCCATCATCTGAACTCATCTGCCACTTGTACTTCTAAACATTCTACTCTATGACTATAACCTCTCTTTCCAGTTATTGCATTCCAACACACATCCCACAATATCACTGGAATGACTAGTCCTTGGTTCATTCAAACCACCAGTTCTATTCTGATGTTATTTCCTTCTCTTCATGACTTGGAGCTCACACCCCATTCAACCACTAGTCTTTACCATCAATTTTTCTTTTCTCACAAAATCACAATGTTAGAAAAATGCAGCCATACTTTGTATCCAAATCAAATGCAACTGGAGATTTGGTATTTAACTACTGCCAACCCAAGAGACCCCAAGCCAAGTGACAAAACAATTATACAATCCTCAAGTTTCATTTTAGATGGTAATTCCTGTGATATTTTTCCTAACTGCTCTCAATACCATCAAATGCTCTATCTCCTCTGTCCCATCTTTTTTACATGTTCCCATTACAGCAAATATACTATAGAATTGATATTGGTATACCTGTCTCCTAGTTAGTTCTTTAAGGGAAGGTATCCCACTTTTTTATGCTTCTAGAATGTTGCTCTACCAAAGAAACACTTAAGAAATTGTCTAAATGAATGAACAGATTCATGATTTGTATTTCTACATACAAATACCAAAGGCAGGGGATAGGTAGAGACTGGAAAAAAGAAAACCCTAACTTTAGTGTTGCCTAATGATACCTTGCTGTGGGTACCTTTAACCTTCTTTGATTGCAATTTCAAATTTTACTTCAGGCCTATAAAAAGAAAGATTCTGGAACAAACATTTGTAGAAAATCAAAATAAGAAGTTAGTTTTGTTCACACAGAAATTAATTAACAGATGAATTTCTAACTTACCATGGCAACATCATCTAAAATGCTCTGAGGTGAACTATGAGCCATAACCTAAAAGAAAAAAATAACTGTTATTTTGAAAACAAACAAAAAAATCAATATACACAAGAAATTTTAAAGTACCCTCAGACTAGCATGGGAATTTCTTGTGGCTGAAGAACCTTTCTACAAATTTCTTAGTTCTCAGAATTTCTCTTCAATGGAAGTTTGAGTTCATACTCTGGGATGCTAATCACTACAGTATATATCTTCTAATTCAAACTCAGATTGATTTTTAAGTTTTAATGCTATAACAATTAAAAGTGGAGAGGGCAGCCTAATTTGCTATTCTTAATGTTAAAAGATCCATACCGTACTAGTGGGAAAAAAGCATTTCCTTAAAATGCAATCAGTTATTCCTTTACAGAAATACGGTGCTTTGCTATAATAACTATCTTATTAGAGGTAAGACTTTGCTTTCAGGAGACAACGAAAGAAGGTGGTGTACCTAAGTGATTAATTAAGATCACAAGTTTAAGAGGCTCAGCTCAGCTACTTATTATATCACCATGGTCAAAACACAATCAATCCCTAAGCCTCAATTTCTTCATGTATAAAATAGGGATGAGTGAGTTAAGACTGTCAGTAAGTTTAAAGAAATATAAGTTCTAAAAAATGCTTAACATAGTAACTGCTAAGAGCGAAGCCTCGCACATAGTAATCAATCAGGGAACCCTATTATTCTATGGTGGAAACTATTTTGTTTCTCTTCCAAAGGATGGATCAAAATTGATAAGATATGCTATTGGCTATTGCCAGAAAACCTCAACTGTACTTCAGCAGCATTCTAACCATTAAGACGAGGAGGTGGCAAGGCATTCTTGGGGCAGGGGGACAACAAAAGTGGCAACCGTGACCCTCTGAAATGAAAGCCCACAGTGTGGAGCTCTGAAATAGGTTGGAGGGCTCATTTAAGTAACCATGAATTTCTTAATGGAACTAAACAATGATGGACTTGGCTCTGTGGGATTCTTTATTTTATGAAGTATATAGTATTTTAAAGTATAAAACAAATGTTGGGCATGAAAGAAAGAAAAGACTAACCTTAGAACAAACAAAATCAACTAATGTAGCTTCTTCTTCACCTATGTATTCTATGATTTTCTTATTAATCCATGGTCTAATTCGTCGTTCCATCAACATCTGCAAAATAAAGCATGTTACTAAATTAAAAAGAGCTTGTTATTGCATTCATTAAAAAGCCTTTAACCACATGATTTTTCTTAAGACTGAACTGCAGTAATATCATTCACAAGTTGAACTAAGGTATTTATCAAACTAAAATTTTCTTTGTAGTTTGTGAAGACTTTAAGCACCACCAAGAGTTTCCTTAATAATTTACTGAACTCCTTGGCCATGTCAAGATTCCAGGCACATTACCATCCCTACTTGTCATTAACAGAATCACCTGTGTTAGTATGTTACATTCAAAAGCACTTCCAATAAAATGATGCAATACAATTTGCTACTCACAGAATCCACAATAGACCAATCCAGTGGATAAGCAAAGAGCTCAGGTTTGGCTGTAGGGATTTTCTCAATCAGACTCTTTATGTGTTTACGTTTTTCTTCAGTGTTTACAGTGCCCTTGGCAGCATTTTTATCATCTTCACCATAATCCAAGGGAACCAGTTTCCGTTTTCGGGGTACATCATCACTGTCTTCGTCCTCAAATTTGTTAAAGACGCTATCTACAGGAAGTTTCTTTCTCTTCACAGAATTAGGTTGACCAGGACTATTGGAAGCACCTATAGTAAAAATACTGCATTAGCATGATGATTAATTTTCAAATCATGTATTTTATAACCCACCATCCCTCAAAAGCAGTGCAAAATATACTTTCACAAATCTTAAGAGAAGGATCCCAACTGTAAAAAATAACTCACCACTCATAAGTGCTAGAAAATTTAACTTTTTTCACTTCTCAGAACTCGAGGCAGCTGCAGATATAGGAGCACTAGTAGAACTATGAAAACAATCATGAGCTAGAGAGGCATTTTTGAATATTCTTCTATCTACCTACCTATCAGCACAAATTAATTTTTTCCTTTAGGAAAAATTTAGGTATTTGCAAGGGGGAAAAACTGTAGGAAAGAAGGAAGGAAGAAAATGCTAACGTACCCAGTTTAAGACTTAGTCCTATTTTTGGCCTATGCTCCTCAGGTTGTTGTTGATCTGGTGAATTTTCATGAGGAATAATAATACCACAGGGAGACTCATCCCCAGGAGTATTGGGAGTTGCATTGCCACTGGCAGAGGAAACAGATGGGGCAGAACTAATGGGCCGCAAAGTTGGCTTGAGACAGGGCTTTTGTTCTGGCTCTTCCTCCTCTTCCATGGGTTCTTCTCGTTTTTCTTCCTTTTCTTGCTTTTCTTCCTCCTCTTCTTCTGATTCTGGTTCTTGCTTTATTTGTGGTTGTCTGCGCCTCTCTGCCTCTTGTTCCATCTAAAGAAAAAAAAATCCAAAAACAATCTAATTAATTTAGACCACAACTATGCTCTATTCAACTGGATTTTTGTTTTACATATCTTTCATAAAATTTCTATTTCTTTATCATCAGGAATAAAAAAACACTGCCTGTTTCCAAAATCAGAAAGCAGAATAAATTCAGAGAGTATATTAAGTATTTTGAAAAAAAGTTTTGATATTGTTTATGTATTTGCCATTCTTCAGGGGCTTGTATAAACTTTTTAGAGATAACAAAGGTAAATACGCAAGGTGGCTAATTCAAAATTCACAATAGTTGACTAGTTCAATAAATATGAAATTTTTATTTAAGAAATTACAACCCGTAGTTTTAGCATAGTATAAATAATACATAAGCAGTCACTCAAATCCTCAGTGTGGTCATACATAATCATTTGTTCTTTCTAGGTAATGGCTGAGGGTGGTAGTCACTTCTGTATTCATGAAGAGGGAAAGGAAGAAACAGTGTGGGAGACGAGAATTTGAGAGGAAAAGGCCTATACCAAAATTAACACTTTCCCTGAAATTACTAAGATTTTAAGAAATCACCATAAGACCATTATAAAATCTTGGATGAGAATAAACTGATAATTTTTCTGAGAAAAACAGAAAATAGGAAAAAAAATAAAAATACATATCCTCAACTACATAAAAATAAAAAATTTGTGCCTGACACACATAACATCATCTAATCATCAACTCACAAAGAAAGTACAATCAATGACCATTAAACAATCTGTAAGGCATTCAAACTCACTGGTAGTCAGAGAATTAAAAAATAAAAACATGCCAAACCTAAATGTTCCAATGGTAAGGATCTAAAAGACTGACGATATATCATAATGAAGGCTATGAAAAAAGATATAAGGGTTATTATAAACTGGTAAAATTCTGGGTGGCAGATTATACCTGATTTAAAAACACATTAGAAATCAGCATGTAAATTATAATCCAAATTATAAAACATGTGTGAGGAGGATATATGTATAATAGCCACATATTTATATTGGTTATACCTGGCTGATAAGAGATCAGACAGTTTTTTTTTAATTTCTTCATTATTGTGTTCTATATTGTCTGAACTTTCTATTTACTCATATGACTACTTAAAGACAAAAATGTGTTCATTTTGAAAAAGGAACATGTAAGAAAACATAGTTTCTGTTAACAAATAGCATCTAACAAGTTTTTAAAAGTCAATCATGAAGAATTTATAATATTAATTCTATTCATGATATTAAGAATGAAAAACTTTTCTAAAGTAACACACTCCATTTAAATCCAAGAACGGGGTACGCATTTGCAACAACATGGATGTAGCTAGAGGGTATTATGCTCAGTGAAATAAGCCAGGCAGAGAAAGACAAGTACCAAACGATTTCACTCATTTGTGGAGTTTAACAACAAAGCAAGACTGAAGGAACAAAACAGCAGCAGACTCACTGACTCCAAAAAGGGACTAGGGGTTACCAAAGAGAAGGGGGTAAAGAGGTAGGGAGGGTGAGGAGGGAGGGAGAAGGGGATTAAGGGGCACTATGATTAGCACACATAATGTAGGGGGATCATGAGGAAGGCAGTATTAACACAGAGAAAACAAGTTGTGACTCTACAGCTGATGGACAGTGACTGCAATGGAATGGTGGGGGGTGGGGAACTTAATAAAATGGGTGAATGTAGTAACCACAATGCTGCTCATGTGAAACCTTCAGAAGACTGTATATCAATGATACCTTAATAAAAAAAAAAAAGAACAGGGTATGCTATGTCCTATGACAAAGTCTTCTTTTTTAAAATGATAAGCTGTACATGAAAATATCTTTAATTTATTTTGAAAACATATTTAGGGTGGCAGCGAGTGAAGGAACTCAAACAACAAGTCATTAAGTCTAAAATCATATTGTAGGAAGGACAGGTTTCCAGAGAAGTTTCATTAAAGGGCATTCATTTAACTTATTTCAAAGAAATAAAGGAGTAAAATATCTAGAGGCAGTTTAGAATAATTAAAGTTGTAAATCAACTAATACTGATGATTTGTATAATAAAACAATGTAAAGGTACTGATTGATATCCTCTCCCCAAATAACAAGATGCATAGACCGAAAAGTGCATTTCCCCTAGAAACCAAACTATATCATAGCTGGCTTGCTTAAGATGACATGATAATCTCAAAAGAATGCTGTTATGGATATTATAGTATCTCACCCTCTGGAGCTCTGCATCTGGATCAGGGTGTCCTTCTGCCAGAAGACGCTGCCTGATTTCCTCTAACTCTTCTTTCTCTCTTTTCCTATCCCGTTCATCCGCTTCCATTTCCTTTTCCCTATCACGCAACCTTTTCTGAAGAGCACTTCCTCTGCAGAAGTAAATTAAAATAGGTTTTATTTAGTACTCAGATCATACTATTACACATCTCAAAAAGCACATTCTTTCAATACCAAAAGCTGCATGCTAAGGGACTGAAGACTATCTTCTTTATCTGCGGAACACCTAAGACAGCATGCTCTCTACATGTTAATGTTTAATAAGCATTGTCTTATCATTCATCACCATGCCTCATTCTTAAGCCATTCTGAGTAAGTTTTTGAAACAAGTAGAAGGCTCTCTTTGTATTCCTACTCCACAGGGAAGAACCAACACATAATTTATTTTTTGCCAAGTTGTTTTGCCAAATTAGTATGAATAGTAGTAATACCACTAAGAATAGTTCTGTATCTTCAACTTAAGTCAATTCTTCCTCTGGAGGGAAAAAAATTGCAGAAAGAAGTAGTGCTGAATCAACAAAAAGCAGAGATTATATCCAGCAGCTTATTATATTGGTTCATTTTACTGACTTTTTGCATTGTCTACTAAATCAAATCCTTGGCATTCTTTCGATTTAAATTGCTAATTCCAATATTTTAATTATTTTGGCTCCAGTGTATTAAATTGTACATTAAAAGCCTTCGCCACATGCCTGGATGTCAGGTACATGAGGGAGGGAAAAAAATCAAAATATTGCCCATACCCTCAAAGAAATTACAGTTTGGAATGGAGAGAGAATAGAGTAATGGTGATGGACAGTGGTGCTGATGGACAGTGACTGGGGTGGTGGGGGTGGGTGGATGGTATTTAATAAAATGGGCGAATGTAGTAACGACAATGTTGCTCATGTGAAACCTTCAGAAGATTGTATCAATGATACCTTAATAAAAAAATTAAAAAAAAAGAACAGGGTATGCCATGTCCTATGACAAAGTCTTGCTTTTTAAAATGAAAAGCTGTTTGTAAAAGCATTTTTAATTTATTTTGAAAACAAATTTAGGGTGGCAGTGAGAGAATGAACTCAAACAAGTCATTAAGTATAAGATCATATACAGAATAAGATCACATCACATGGCACTTTTTTTCTTACCATAGTGCCACAAGTACTAGAATGAGAATAGGAATGCCAAGGGAACACAGAGATGAGGGAAGGCAGGCCTCACAACAATACAGCAATTGGGCAGGGGTACAGGGTGGGGGGCATTTAGATCACTCCACAGCACTCTTGAAAGACAAAAATTTGAACGACACTACTTGAAGACAAAAATTTCTAGACCACCTTAGATAGTTATGAAGATTAGTTAAAACTTGATATAAAAATTAGACCTCTTTAAAACACATGAAAAAAAATCAATTTGCTATAATACTATTATGTACTTCCCACCCAAAAACATGCATAGAATGTTGACTCTCTTTCTAACAGCACTCCAACCCTGAAAACAGCCTATCAGTTATTGGGTTGATTACAAGACAGGATGTGAAGATTTATTTATTATTCCACCGAATGAGTTTATACTCTCTGGCAGATAAGGGAAATTACAGCTAATAAAAAACTGAAAGTGTGAGTTCATAAAGCAAGGCTTCTTTACCTGTAGTATTTGGGATCATCTCTATCATCATCATAATCTTCTAAGAATTCTTTCAGTCGTTTTGCTTCTTTTGCCTTTGAGGAAATGAGGAAAAAGCATGCAAGGTTAACAAAAGTCACTCGGACTACCACTCCCATTTTTTTAGGAACAGATCTTATCCACACCATCTGAACTTAAAAATTCTCATATGCTTCATATACTAAATAAAAATTACATTCAGTATTTTTCATCCTTTGCTTGTAAAACAAGTCAGATTTAACTTACCTGAAATGAAAACATTATAGTAAATTTCCTCTCTGAATATAATCAGCCCAAGTAAAATAATACATATATATTTTTTAAACAGGAGAAAAAATGAGCTTAATTATAAATGTATAGGGAAGCCAGAAACATGGGTTCCTACAGTAATATTTTCTAATGAAACCTGAGCACACCAAGAAACAAAATTGCAAGTTATCTTACCAAATCTGTCAACTTGACAGAAGTATTTTATATTTCATTTGTAGGTAGATGATGCTACAAAAAGTAGTTTTTACGAAATACAGGATTAAAATTTTAAATCACATTCAAGCATCAATCTAAAGGTGAGACCTATCAACGTTGAGTACACAAACCATAAAAATTTATACATTTCTTACTCTTAGGTTTGGAATTTCAAATACAAATCTATTATATTTAATAGCAGTTATATCTATTATCACTTATATATAAAAACATAGTATATCTATATCTGTATCACTTACATCAATCGCTGAATCTATTTAGAAAGGAGATAAGGGTAGGTTTCTGACCACAGTAAAACTTTAACTCATGTCACATAGTTCATACATTACCTCTAAAGACTTCCCAACATAACCTTCCATTTATGACCAACTCCTCCCCCCAGACAGAATTAGTTTTCTTCCTCTGCATTCCCAAAATACTATGAACATACCTTTAGCAGATCTTAAACACTCACACACACACACACTACAGTAACTACCTTCCTCTGACATTTCTCTGAAACACTTCTTTCGAAGTCAGAAATATTAGTTACTTTGTATGCCCAGTACGTAATATAAAGCTGGGACATAATGTATACTCAAAACTTGTCAAATGAATTAAAGTAGATTGTAAGGTAGTAATGACATTGCTTACAAATATCAAAGTAAAATACAGGAAGGCCTATAAGGTATATACTAAAATATAAACGTAAGTTACCACTCTAGAGTAGAAATCTTCACTTTTTAAATCATGTACTTCTGTTACTTGAACATTTTATAAGAAGTAACTTTTTTTTATAACTGGGGTTTTTTTAAAGCTCCCAAACAAAAAAGTTATCAGAAAATTTTCTCTAGAAAGACAGGTTTCAGATTGGCTTTTAGGAAGGAGAATCACTTCAAATCTACTCCCCCCAATGTTGTTGATAGCAAACATTTCTTCAAATAATTATGTCTCTTACTATATGGTTCCCTTCCTACTTTTTAACCTAGAGATCAGAAAAAAATTGGGGGATGGGAGCTACAAATCAAGTAAATTAAAATTATCTTAAATAATTCTATTACATTAGAGAATCTACTATCCAGAAAACCCATCTATCTAGTTGCTGCATGTATCATTTTGGTTACTTACAAAAATTCCCTCTATGTCTCATTTTCAAAAGCTATCTGAAGAAGATTCCTAACTTCAATAAGTTTTTGGAATAATTATGTCCAAACTGGAGATAAAGAAACTTTCATGAAACTCTGCAAAAATAGAACACATGGAGCACACAACTGAAGTAAATACTATGATAAAATAAATTACCTGTCATTTTACTTAGTAACAACCTATGCCAATTGCTTCAGTATTCATTTATCAAAACGTGTAAATGCAAAAAGACTTTTATGATTATTATGAAGTTTAAAGAATATAGTAACAAAGAAAAACTAATTTACAAATGTTATATACAGAAGACAGCAATTTCGATTTATAAAATGAGGCCTTACAACACCACTACCAAATATACACCAGTAAAGAACGTCATCAAAGCCTCTTCAAATTCAACAATGTAGATTCTTAATCAACAAACGTTCTATGAATTCTTGTTGTGACAAACTCACTTTGACAGTATGCCAAAATAAATTGTTTATATGCAACAAAATGTGAAAAACAGGAAGAAAGATTTCAGTAAAGTTGTCTTAAGGTTACGTGAACTATGTAACAAATTATACTGGGAGCTCATACATTTTAATTATGAAGTCACTTCTATTTAACAGTGAAGATTTTATCTTGCTTTTATTTTAAAATTCACTTATTTTTAACCCAGAATATTACCATTTCTCTTCTTCTTTCTTCTTCTCTTTCAGCCTCTTTCTCATATTCACGGGTTTTCTTCCGTTCTCTGATTTCCCAATTCTTAAGGCGCTAAAACAGAAATCATCAAAGCTTTAAAAATATACACAAAGGATTCTAAAATTTTTGACTAATCTAGTACATTAGCACATAATCTAGAAAATACCAAGTGTTAAGAGCAAAAGCATTTCCTCAATTTACCTCTTGATAAGCAGCTTCTTTCTCTCGGAGTTTTCTTTCAAGTTTTCTTCGTTCATATGCATCTTCTTCATCCTCTTCTCGGTCCCGCTTCTTGTCTTTCTCTCTCTCTCGCTCCCGTTCCCTTTCTCGCTCTCTCTCTCGTTCCCGTTCTCTTTCTCGTTCCCGTTCTCTCTCTCTCTCTCTTTCCCGCTCCCGTTCCCTTTCACGATCTCTGCTCTTTTCTCTATGTAAACAAATTATTTTAAAAATGTTAACTCTATTTTTCTTAAAAAACAAGGTCATTTTTATGAATATACAAACTCACAGTGTGATTTTAGCATCTGATTTCTACAGAACTGTAAACTCCTCCATATTTGTCAAAAAAAACACAGAATATAATTCAAGCCCAAAGTTCTGAATTGCATTCTCAATTCAATGTTAATCCTTACCACTATCTCAGAAAACAAAGGAACTATAAAACTTGCATATAAAAAATTCAAAGAATTAAAATAAACATGTTAAGAAAATAGTCTACCTCACCAGTGATCAAGGAATAAAGGTGCTGCAAAGGTATGGAAAAAAGGGTATTCTGACACGCTGCATTAAAAATTAGAACCAGATCAACAGAGGTGAGGCTCAGAACCTCACCCTCCCTGCTTTGAGAGAAATCTTCTGCATCCGTGGATGTCTTGCTGCCCTTGTCTAGCCTGGATTAATACTTAGTCCATGGGCACACACCTGATCATCTGATCATCTACATTTGCCCTCTTACAGCACTAAACTATGTTTTCTACCTTTATCTTGCATCTACCTACCACTTCAGCATTTTATTAAAAATAAAAATAATAATAATAATAG